CCCCTCCCCCACTCCTCTTTACCCCTAATTTGGAAAATGTTAAAAGCGTCTTTCCGCATGGCATCAAATCGACCCAAACATGGCCTAAAACGAGAAAGGAGGATGGACCCGATATGTCCGTAAAGTCAAGCAAGTTCCAAACAGAGGCCTAAAGATTTGTTCTTGTTTTAGTTTTAGTAGAGGTTTTACGGCGCTCGCAGCTGCATTAGGTCATACGAGCGACAAGGGGTGGATGTCAACAGACAAGTCCTTACAGGGAATCAGACTTACTCTGCTCACCTCTGTAGCTTCAACAGCACAAAATCTACTTCGACTATCAAGGCACCCTGGAAATAGCGGCGGGTCACAAGAGTGTGACAAACATACAAAAGAAGTAGAGGAAAAAAGGACGATAGTAAAGATTAGGAAAGAAAAGGCAGCATTTCCCTGTTGCAGTTCAGGCACAGTTATGAGCGTGACATTGATGAATCAGTCCATTTACAATTACAATTATACACTGTGCATAAGAACTCGAGACGTTAATGCCTCAGAGTTCGAGGATTTCCAGAAATCTTGACCTACACCAAAAGTGGGCTTTGCCCTACCTATAGGGGAAGTTTGGTTTCATTGGTGTGTATATGTTTGGTAATAGAGAAAACCCTCCTTGTCTTTTAAAGAAACTGAACAAGGGAAGGGGGGGGGGGCGAAACGTTACCTTCAACTTTCTCAAAACAGCATTTCTCGGGATAGCCCCTTGTGCTTAAAAGCGACTAAATTCTCCCCGATCTGGGATCGAACTCGGGTCTCCTGCTTGCAACAGCTATAAGCTCCGACCCGCTACTACACCACAGACGCCAGTCCTGCTTTGAGTGACACGGCGACAGACACGAGTCGACGTGAGAGAAAAACGAAATCGGAGGAAACAGGACCGAAAGTTTTGTCAGGCGAAAGAAATAAATGGCACAATCTGACAGACAGTGAAAGCCGCAAACAAAGGGTGAACAGATCAGCCCGGAGAAAAGAAAAATCTTAACGTAGGCGGACAAAGAAAGACGGATTGCTATAATATGTGAGGCAGCGTGGTGGAATCAGGCTCTCGTCAAAATAATTAAAGGAAAGTAACTTGCATTTTTTCAGCAGATTTGTGAATTTTTATCAATTTTTGTTTTGTTTTTTGGTGCAACACCTTTCATGCCCATTAAAGAATTCATTTATGTGGAGATTTTTCTGAAAAATATTGATGAAAGGTACAAAAAATGTAAATTTTTAGTTACCACGGACTCTTTAGCTAAGGAATTAACTAATGTTTGGCGGCCATTTTTTCACTAATTTTACCTCTGAAAATAGGTGAACCCCACCTCCTTCTTTCGCAAATATCTCGACTTGTATTCAAGACAAATGGCTGATATTTTCATCCATATAAAGACAAGTAAACAAACTTTAAGATGACACTAATAACTCTACGTGCCCAAAAATTGACGAGAGCCTGATTCCACCACGCTGCCCCACATATATCGACCAGTGAGCATACTTTCCCTGACCCTTGCTCCAATAGTAATATTATAATGTTTCCTTCAACTCAGAGTGACAGTCCCTCCCCACCCCCACCACTCCTTTGCCTCACTCCATCCCCCCCCT